TTCGTGTGAGATGAAAATTATAATAGCAACATCCAAGATTTGAGAGTTATTTTTCCGGTAGATAAAATGTAAGAGAAAAATAGCCAAAAGTAATTTGAATCCAATTTCAGAAACACCTTTATGTTAAACTATATCATTCATTAACAACTTCCTATGAAGAAACTTCTAAACTACTAAGGATTTAGATGGAAGAATACATTGATTCCAAATAATTTGGCCCAATCTTTTTAGAAAATGTTCATTTCACCCTCTGCATTAAACATATCCAGAATTTGTGCCAAAGGGAGTTCATACACCATCTATATCAATACAAAAACTAATATTCTCACAATTTCCAACCACCTAAAACTGAAGAGAACACCTGTAAGATATATAAAAGTCAAACAGAGGAGATTTGTAAAACACCAAAATAAAAAGTTGGCTTTCTGAAACCTGTTTCTCATTAAAACTAGCCATGCGAGATTTCCATGACTAAATCTCAAGACTCAAAAATTCAGCTTGGGTTTCCTCCTAACTGAAACCACAGCCAAAACTCCCTACTTCTTTGAATTGCATACTATCTTCCAATTCACCGGGACCAACTTTCATTGTTTGAAGTCCCTATACCAAATAAAGTCTGTCATCGTACTTTTCAATTCTTTTAATTGAAAGTTATAGTTCAGGATTCAAACAATAACAGAATTTATCAACTGAGCAATTTCACCCTCCCCGACTACATAATTGTTAAAAGTGATGTAAATTCTAAAAGATTTAGAAAGATTTTTGAGTTTTTCCTGCAACACAAACACAAAGGACACCTTGTCATTTGATTTTGCCAAATCTTCTCTCAAAACCAGCATGTTCATTCACATAGCTTGAAATTTAAAGGATGAAAAGAGAAATGATCAGAATTGCATCTAGTGTTAGTGCAACAAGCAAATTCAAATTACCTTCCACTAGTGGGAATACTGCTCATATCATTATCTTCCATTTAATTAGATTAAAAATTGAACAAAAGATTCTTCCTTTCTCTTGGGAGCATAGAACCACATTGAATTCCCTAATAGAGTCCAAAGACCCAACAAAATTTAATTTAATTTAATTTTTTTAGTTTTGAAAAAGCTTTAGAGATTAATTTTTAAAAAGTATTTTAAAAATAAATTTAAAAAAATCAAAATTATATGCTAACTTTATTTTTTAAAATTATTTTAGACGGAAAAGAGTATATGATGAAAAAAAATAGAAAACTAAAAAAAATACTTTTAATTAATTTTTTATTTTTAAAATTAAAAAATTGAAAACTATTTTTAAACCACCTTACAGCATATCATATATGGTTGTAACTAATGCCGAGGCAGTAAAAATTCCAATTAAAAGGATCCACTTATTTTAATCAAATTTAATTCATGCTAACAAATTAACACTTAAGAATATGTTTAATGAATCTACTTGAATATAAACTCCAAATGATTTTCATTTATAAATATATATAATAAATGAAATAGAAGAATCAACGTCAATATTTGTTTCAGGGAAACATTAAAAAAAAAAAAATAGTGTAAAAAGAAAGTGATCCTCAAAACCAAATTTTGAGTTCAGCACTCAATGGAAAAAGTGATAACATTTTGGAGGATTATTTCTAATTAAATGTGTGAAATTCTTAAAATATGTATTTTATTCGTTAAATAGAAAGCAAATTATTATTATTATCTTTGACAAGTTTGTCTAGGATTATTTTATCAAGGAGAAAAAATAAAATAAAGCATATTTAGTTTTATTTAATTTTTAATTTTTAATTTTAAAAATATCACAATAGTTAATTATATTAGAAGTGTAAAGGGTGATAATGGTTCTAACTTCTTGGTTGAAAATGATGTCTAATACATTATCGAATCTATTACAAATTACAAGCATATAATTAAATTTTTAATGACTTTCACTGTAATTAAATTAGAAGTTTATCTAACAATTTATCTAAAAGTGATTATTGAAAAGCCATTATTTTATAATAAATAAATTCTAATAATATAATAATTGATTAAAATATGTGATTGAAAAGATCTTAAGAAATTGTGTGCCTTTGACTAAATAAATAAATGAACAAAATCAAGTACTATCTTCGAATTCACTTAAACTTTTACTTTCATTATTATTACTCTCGTCATTTTTTATTATTTAAATATATATAGTTTAAATTTTACTAAATGTCAATCAATAATTTTATATATAAAATGTAAATTTTGTAGATTCAACTGTTAATTGCATTTTTTATCGTTATAATTTTTGACATTTTTATCGTCATAACTTTTTATATCAAATTTTATTAAAAATAATATATTTTAGTATATTCATACTATGTGTGTGTGTGTTTTATGATCAATTAGGATGAAAATTTTGAAACAATATTTAAAATAATTATGATATAAGTTGCTGAAAAATAAAATAAAATAATAATAGGAAAGCGTGTATGATAAAGAAGATATATAATATAACATGTGTTATAATTATATGTATATTTTTAAATGACATGAGAGAGAAAAATCGATACGTTAAATATAATAATAACTAGTTGATAGAATTCAGAATAAAATAATCTACTAAAACTTATACTTCGATGAGATTATTTAATTTTATTTTTACTCAGAATAAATTAACAAACTCTTTTTATATATAAAATGACAATAAATTTAAATTATAGAACCTTTAAATATTGCTTAAACTCCTCTCACTAGACACTGATGGAAAAAATAATACTTCTCAAATTGAGTTTCATATCATTTTACTTTACAATAAAAATAATATCTCAAACTCGTTTTCATGGCTAAATTTCTACTATTAATCTACATATTTAATATCCTCCGTAATATGTTATTAACATTATTATCGAATTCAATAAAAAATTCACATAAAAATTTGACAGTTTAATTTAATTTATATTTTAAAATAAAATATAATTTTTTTATCTAATCTCAACTTAATTATATCAAGTCAATATACAATTTTTGACTTGGTTAAAAATTAAAATAAACAATAATTTTAAATAAAAGCTAAAAATAAAAATTTAGTTTTACAATTGTAATTATATTAATATTTTTTAATTTATATATAATATTTTTATTTTCAAAATAATAATTATTTTATAAAATAGGACATGATATATTATTTAAACTTATTTTAACCATAAATTAATTAAACCTAATAAAATTTAACTAATTCAATTTAAGTTATAATTTTTAACATGTTTTAGTCAACTATAACTATTTTCACAAGTTTAATTGTATATGACTTCAGCAATTATATATATTAAAAAATTATATTATATATAAAACGTCAAAGGATTATAAGATTTAAGGAGCAATAGTTCGCATGACTTTATATATTTTAACATGTTTTTGACCTACCTATTTTTAACAAATTTAAGTATATATGATTTCAAAAATTGTATTAAGAAATTCTGTTATTCATAAAAAGTCATCAAAAAAAAAAAAAAAAAATATATATATATATATATATATATATATATATATATATATATATATATTTATATAAAGGAGTTGGCAAGTTTCTATTATTCATGTCGGCATACAAACAAATATGTAAACACTGGTTTTTCAACCATTAATTAATATAACTTTTATTTGACGGAAATTACAGTGTGAAACTTGACTTAATTCAAATTAATCAAGAATCAAACTAAATATTATTAAGAAATGACAAAAAAAATATATTAAACACAAATTTTCTTTCAATGTATGTACGCAACACTTTATTTCAATTGGTAATAGTTATATAATAGATAATAAACGATCCTCCAGTTATATTTGAACACACTGCATATATAACCTTAGAATCTAGAGATCCTCACCCACCCTAGCTAAAGCATTTTCCCAATCAATCAAAAAAAGAATATTACATGATAACATGATATAAAACATGTCATTTCACAGATTAACAACAAAAGCACATGATTATGGTGATTGATTAACAGCTTCGAATGTAATTGTTGTGCATGTAAAGGATTTTCACTAGTCACCCCTTGAACCTGAACCATAACAGTAGTATCTCAATCCACACGTCTGAACCCAATGTACCAGGTTCACATTTTTAAATATTTTACTGTTATTTTGCGCCACTTGCATGGAATTAAGACATTATCTATAACCAAGTTGTTTGGTGTCTTCATCACACAACTTGCTGCAAACCGCGTTTGTTGATATGCATGCATTTTCAGTTTTGCTTCTTTTGGCCGAATCTTTTATATTAATAATACATACTATTTGCTCCACTAATCACGCTCAACTTCTTAATTAATACGTTTTCATCTTCTTGATTGTCAATGCTAAGCTGCTTTCTGCTAAGCACTATAAAAACACAAAAACCATTGACTCAACTTCGGTAGCTATCCCAATATTCAACCAAAGTCTAGTCAAAACGCTTTGATCCAAATGTAATTTGCAATTAAACAAAACTTCCAAACGATTATAGTATTTTATCTCTAGATTAATTAAAGATATTTAGACTGAATGAAGAATTTTATTATGTATGGGAATAATGAATGAATCATAATGTAATGAATTTTAATTATATTCTTTTTACTTTGTTTAATTCTGGCATATATTAAACTGGTTTCTCCTAACGTTAGGTATGTTTTTGAGCTCTATGGATAGCCATGTTAAATATTGTCTAGCATGTGTACTGTCTCTCAAACCTTTGCGGATACCTACATAACCGTATTTGACTTGGCCTGTTTATGTAGCGTCTCAATCAGTAGAAGATGTGACCTGTTTCGTTAGACCAGAATGACATCGGAAGTCAAACTTAAGATATTCACGGGTTTTTGTTCTAAAATGAATGAATCCCTGCTAAAGATTTGACTAGTTTACATGTCATTGAACACTCTGTCACAGATGGGGGCCATGCTTTTTGAAATTATTGGTGGATGAATGAACATTCTTAGTTGTATATAAAGGCTTCACTGACTTCAATTTTAGTATCAGCAAACTGCAGTTAAATATTATACAATGGTGCTGTCCCTAAAGATTACTTTGACTATAGTCCTTGTCCTTTCCATTGTATCCATAGTTTCCCTTGCTGAAACAAGCTTGGATGTTGAAATTGAATCGTTGAAAGCTTTCAAGAACTCCATCACTGGTGACCCAAATGGTGCTCTAGCAGACTGGGTTGACAGTCATAATCACTGCAACTGGTCTGGCATTGCATGTGACCCATCTTCAAATCATGTCATTTCAATTTCTCTGGTTAGTCTTCAACTCCAAGGGGAGATTTCTCCTTTCCTTGGGAACATTTCAGGCCTTCAGGTTTTTGACATCACTTCAAACTCATTCACTGGCTACATTCCTGCTCAGCTCAGTCTTTGCACTCAACTTACTCAGCTGATTCTTGTTGATAATTCTCTCTCAGGTCCTATCCCTCCTGAATTAGGAAACTTTAAAAGCCTACAGTATTTGGATTTAGGTAGCAACTACTTGAATGGAAGCCTCCCTGACAGCATATTCAACTGCACTTCTTTGTTAGGTATTGCTTTCAATTTCAACAACCTTACTGGCAGAATCCCATCAAACATTGGGAATCTAGTTAACCTTGAACAGGTTGCAGGTTTTGGAAATAATTTGGTAGGATCTATACCGCTTTCCGTAGGTCAGTTACGAGGCTTGAGAGCTCTTGATTTTAGCCAAAACAAGTTATCAGGTGTAATACCTCGAGAGATTGGAAACCTGCCAAAATTAGAATACCTTGAATTGTTCCAAAATTCCTTGAGTGGTAAAATTCCTTTTGAGCTTGGTAAGTGTAGCAATCTTGTAAGCCTTGAGTTATCCACCAATCAGCTTATTGGAAGTATTCCTCCTGAGCTAGGAAATTTAGTTCAGTTGCAGACACTGAAGTTACATCAGAATAATTTGAATTCCACCATCCCATCTTCCATATTCCAGTTGAAATCATTGACACATTTAGGCCTCTCACAGAATAACTTAGAGGGAACAATATCTTCTGAGATTGGATATATGAACTCCTTGCAAGTTCTAACCCTGCATTTGAATAAGTTAACTGGGGGGATCCCTTCATCAATAACAAACTTGACAAACTTGACATATCTGTCAATGAGCCAGAATCTTTTCTCAGGTGAACTTCCTTCAAACTTGGGTGTGCTTCATAATTTGCAGTTTCTTGTTTTGAGCAACAACTATCTTAATGGATCCATTCCCCCTAGCATTACCAATTGTACGAGACTGGTAAATGTAAGTTTGTCTTTTAATGCTTTAAGTGGGAAAATTCCTGAGGGTTTTTCCAGGTCGCCTAATCTTACTTTCCTGTCTCTTGCGTCCAACAAAATGACTGGGGAAATCCCAGATGACCTCTATAACTGCTCAAATCTTAGCTCTCTAAGTTTGGCAATGAATAACTTTAGTGGATTGATAAATTCAGGTATCCAGAACCTGTCTAAACTTCAGCGCTTACAGCTGAATGTAAATTCTTTCATAGGACCCATTCCACCAGAGATTGGAAACTTGAATCAACTCATCACTCTATCCCTCTCTGAAAATAAGTTTTCTGGTCAAATTCCTCCAGAACTGTCTAAACTTTCCCGCCTTCAGGGGCTCACTCTTCATGCCAATGAATTAGAAGGTACAATACCTGATAACCTCTCCGAAATAAAAGCACTAACCAAACTTTTCCTGCATCAAAACAAGTTGGTTGGTCAAATACCTGATACTCTCTCAAAACTTAAGATGCTTTCCTACTTAGACCTTCATGGCAACAAACTTAATGGATCCATTCCAAGAAGCATGGGGAAGCTAAATCAACTTTTAGTTTTGGATCTCTCCCACAACCAGCTCACAGGATCAATTCCTGGAGATGTCATAGCAAACTTCAAAAGCATGCAAATGTATCTTAACATTTCTTACAACCACTTGGTTGGAAATGTTTCAACTGAGTTGGGCATGTTGGAAATGATACAAGCTATTGACATTTCAAACAATAATCTTTCGGGTTTCATTCCTAAAACACTTGTTGGGTGCAGAAATCTATTCAATCTTGATTTTTCAGGAAACAGTATTTCAGGTCCTATTCCCGCTGAAGCATTTAGTCGCATGGACTTGCTTGAAAGCTTAAACCTCTCAAGAAATCATTTAGATGGTGAAATCCCTGAAATATTGACAGAACTTGACCATCTTAGTTCCCTGGATCTTTCTCAGAATGACTTGAAGGGAATTATTCCTGAGGGTTTTGCCAACCTTTCCAATTTGGTGCATCTCAACCTTTCCTTCAATCAACTTGAAGGTCCGGTGCCTAAGACCGGAGTATTTGCACACATCAATGCATCTAGTATGATGGGAAACCAGGATCTTTGTGGAGCTAAGTTCCTATCGCCATGCAGGGAGACAAAACATTTACTTTCCAAGAAGGCCATATTTATAATTGCTTCACTTGGATCTCTAGCTATACTACTAGTGTTAGTGCTTCTAATTCTCAGTCGTGGCACCAAACTCTGTAATTTTAAAGAAAGAGATATCAGTGTAAATCATGAACCAGACTACACTTCAGCATTGGCACTTAAAAGGTTCATTCCAAAGGAATTGGAGAATGCCACCGGATTTTTCAGTGCAGATAGCATCATTGGTGCTAGCAGTTTGAGCACAGTTTACAAGGGTCAAATGGAAGATGGCCAAGTTGTTGCCATCAAAAGATTGAATTTGCAACAATTCTCTGCAAATACTGACAAGATCTTCAAGAGAGAAGCCAACACCTTGAGCCAGATGAGACATAGGAATTTGGTCAAGGTACTTGGATATGCCTGGCAGAGCGGGAAAATGAAGGCTTTGGTTTTAGAGTACATGGAAAATGGAAATTTAGATAGCATCATACATGGCAACAGGGTAGATGAGTCTGCAATCTCTAGGTGGACATTATCTGAAAGAGTCCGAGTCTTCATATCTATTGCTAAAGCATTGGAATATTTGCACGCGGGTTATCATTTTCCCATTGTACACTGTGATTTAAAGCCTTCTAACATTCTATTAGATAGAGAGTGGGAAGCTCATGTAAGTGACTTTGGGACAGCTCGAATACTTGGTCTTCGTCTGCAAGATGGTACCCTTTCGTCAACAGCAGCTGTGCAAGGCACAGTTGGCTACATGGCACCAGGTATAAGTCTTTTCTACTTTGCTAATCTCTTATCTTTAATGTACAATATGTTTTCATCAGTTATTTTCCTCGCAATTCAAATGAATATTTAGTTCTTGTTGGATCTGTAGAGTAAATCCTGCACCTTAAATTGTAATAATCAGCGGAAATAACCTAAGAAAGAGCTCAAGGCTTGAACATGTTAGTGTCTATTTGCTGTTTCTATTTTATGCATGAGGCTAAATTTGATTGTTCTATTCAGGAAAGGTAGCATCACCAAGACTAGCATAAGTACATAACATCTTATTTTGTTGCTTGAAAATACACAGTCCATGCTACAACTGTCAAACCTCCCCCCTCCATCTCCCTGGCTCTTGGATGTTATAGTAGTTGCCACCACCCTTTCATTTTGCTAACTGACATATTACCTTTTCAATGTATTAAGAGAAAAGACACAGTGGTAAAATTCGCACGGGATCAGTATTAACTGATTGTATCAACCATGAAGTAGAACTTGTGACTGCATTACCATATTCAGCATGACTGTCATTTCAACTCTTCCAAAAGCTTTTGCTACCGGTAACTACAACAAATTGACTTATGTGTAACAGATAGGCAAAATCATTTTCTATTAGATTCATAAAAGTATGGAGGACACTATCCCCTTTAGATAGTATAGATAATATAGTTTCCCTTGTTTGTGCCCAAACAGATAGCTAATTTGCCATTCCTTAGTTTTATTTCAAATATCAAATATAAGTTTTTTTGTTTCCAACCTCTTAACTTATTAACTTCGTACACAAAAGCTTTTTATATATATTCATACTCTAAACAAGATATTTCTGGTGTGTAATTCTCAGAATTTGCCTACACGAGGAAAGTAACCACTAAAGCAGACGTGTTCAGCTTCGGTATCATAGTAATGGAGTTCCTAACAAAAAGAAGACCAACAGGACTCTCGGAAGAGGATGGTTCGCCAATCACTTTGCGTGAATTAGTGGCTAAAGCAATTGCAAATGGAATAGAACAGTTTGTCAATATTGTGGATCCTTCGTTGACCTGGAATGTCACAAAAGACAATGATGAAGTGTTGGCAGAGCTCTTAAAGCTATCCCTGTGCTGCACCCTCCCTGGTCCTGAACAGAGACCCAATTCGAATGAGGTGTTATCTGTCCTTTTGAAGCTTCAAACAACACTGTCTTCTTAAATGATAAACACCACCAACCAACCAATTCTTGGAGCTTCTTTTCTAAAAAAGAAAAATTAAATGGTTCAAAATTACCACATTACTGTTGCCTCTAATAACAGCAAATTCCCATTGTACTCATGTTAGTTTTCCAATTATGATGAAATGCATACAATATATTTCTAAAAGATAACAAATTAGCAGGGGAATTGAGTTTTTGATAATGTATTGAAATTATGAGCCCTCCTTTGTAAATGTGTAATATAATACTTATTGTCCATTGTTGCATGCTTTTTTATCTTTTCCACTCCCCTTCCCCACCCTTGCGTTAAACGCAAATATACTTCCACATTCACTAAAAAATTTCACAGTTCCACCAGGGTAATTGCCAAGTACAGTATATAATCATAATCTTACAAGAAATAAGACGAACTACCAAACCGAAAAGCAAAAAGTTACACTATCCACTTCCGATAGCCCCCTTTTCCTGAAGTATCATTTAGGTTCTATTTGGTTTTTAAACTTCTTCAACAGTACTTTTAAAAACAAATAATAAAGTAAAAGGAATCAAGTTTCTTCTATAACTCAAAATACAGTTATACACTTCAAATTTTATAAAAGCTATCTCATCTAATTTTTCTCAAAAGCTGATGTGCAGATGCTGATTTAACTCATAAAAGAAGTTTGCACTATATGTTTTTATTTTCTTCTTCTATACATGCTAACGAAGAAGTTTATCTAAACAAAACCTAATACGTTTTACACATCCAACCCTTGCTTTATTTCCTACTCTCTTCTCATTTACAGTACACAGTGAAATTTCCTCACTTAATAGTTGGAGAATGAAATTAACGGGGATGAAAAATAACAAGTTACTGTAAAGTTAATTGCCCAATGTTTCAAGAGGCATGGTGAAAGAATCTTCCAAGTTTTATATTAGTCATAACGGTATATAACAATTAGAAAGAAGAATACCATAAAATAAACAACAAAGCTAAAGAGTAATAAGAAGAAAATGGGAGGTTGACTCAGTTACAGGGAGGATCAGTATGAAGAAATTCTTTAATGGTTGAAGGGAAGTCCAATTCTCCATAAGCACCACCATCAGAAACAAAAGCAGCTTTCCCTAAAAGCAGGTGTGCCAATCTCAAGGGTTCTAGCTTCTCCTCTCCACCACCAGTCAGAAAGTGCTTGATCCACCCATCTAATCTCAGCACCTCTTTCCCACACTTTGGCCCTTCCACACCCACAACTTTTGCATAAAAGCCACCTTCACAGTGACAAGAAGCACAATCATCAAAACTGTCCCTTTGTTCTTGTTCGTCTGATAAACCCAAAAGCTGCATTAATTGCTCAATGTCATCATCTTCAGCTTCATTTTCAGGAGTGACATGCTCTCTTTGAGAAGGGTTTTGATGGGTTGTCGGAAATTCCTGGGAAACGGAGAGGAATGCTTGAGGAGGTTCACCGCTGTCTTGGGAGGGACAATTCTGGCTACAATTAGATTGGAGGAAGATGGGAGAACCCAATGTGCTTTCTTGTAACTGAGATTCAATTGTTGGTGATGTTTGGTCTAATTTTAACCTCTTTTCGACCTGAACAAGCATCAAACTTCAGAATTCAGAATCCAATAAGAACATGTTACAATGTTAAATTTACAATTACGCATACATACCTGCTTTAGCGAGGAGAAGAAATTGGAATGCGATGACATGATACTGAGAATGGTCGAATTTGGTTTATTTACCAAATTCGTGCAATTTTTACACCATATTACCAGGGTTCGAAATATTACGAGGTCAAGTCGTGCTATAGTCATGGTTACGAGGTACGATTTTATAAATTTTTCTTTTTTTTATTTTAAACCTTAAGTTCTATTTCTTTTTTTTTTATTACGAAGTCTATGACAATAATTTTTTTATTTTTTTTTTAATTATTATTATTAAAGTCATCATACATATTATGATTTAATTTTTATTTTTCTAATTTCTTCTATTTTAATTTAATTATGACATAATATTATACGTAGTTTGTTGTACTTATGATATTTTAAGATGTAAAATTTTAAAGTAAAAAATTAAAAATATAAGAATAGTTAAAAAAAATGAAATATATTAATATTATAAGTGAAATATTATAAATTATTTATCCAAATAATTAATATTATTATAATTCTTGGTACAATAAAATGAGTACTTTTTTTTTTATTTATTTGGATTTGGTTGATATATTTTGTCGTGGATGTGTGTCATGGTGGGTTTTTCTTACTGTTTGCATCACATAATTTGGTGAAATTCATGTTTATAAGTTTTGAAAATTTGGTCTAATTGGTATAATAGATTAACATATATATCAATATGCAAATATGACACAAGAAACACACAACTATAACATTTTAGCAAAGTAGTTGGAGAGTTTGAAACTCTCCACAATCACATCATCAATCATATAACACTACTAGAAAAATGTCAAATAAGAATCGAAATCGATGATCGAAAAAGTTAGTTACTATTAGTGATCGAATCAAGTAACTAAATTATTATTTTTTAATTTAGTAACGTAAATAGTAACTAAATTTTCGGTCACAATAAATCGGTTACTATTTCAGCCACTTTATTATTTAATTTACTTTTTTATTATTTAATTTAATTTTTTAATTTTTTTAATTATTCTAATTAGTATCTAATTTTCACTCCCTCTCTGTTACCCTCCCAACTTTCATCTTCTTCGCACTGATAATCCTCCAAAATTTTGTGTTCTTCATGCTAACAACCCTCCCAAATTCACCTTCCCGCTCACAATTTCACTTCCTCTTTGTGACCTTGTACCAGTGACTATCCACCATTGTTCGAGTTTAATCACTTTCGTCTCTCCAACCCCAATCCTCCACCCTTCTATTCAGCTTCGAAGATCTTTAACCCAGCATGCATGACCTGACCTCAAGCTTGAAATCCAACCCAGTGACCTTGAATCTCAAATCTGAGTGACCAAAACACCCAATCAAAACCCAAGCAACTTCGAATCTCAACCCCAGCCTCAACCTCGACGAACTCGAGGCCGAACCCCAACTCTGGCGACATCGAACCCCAATGTCAAGCCAAACCCAATTGTCATGTTGTGAAACCCAACACAAACCCAGTGGAGCTCGAACCCTAACGCATACCCTAGTGATGTCGAACTCTAACCTCGAGCCAACCCCCACTTTAATTCGGTCGCAATTAGCGATTGATTGATTGTTCAAGGATGTGTAAAAGATGATATATTCAATGTATGTTAAAAAAGTTCAAGCCAAACTGTTTTTATAGAAGATTTTCAAAGCTATCTGGTTTAATTAATCTGTTAAAAGATTCTTTTAATCTGTTAAAAGTGCGAGTTTTAATCTGTTAAAACTTCTTTTAATCCATTAATACGTTCTTGATTCTTTAACAGATTTGTTTTAAGCTGATACTGACAACGTTTATATCAATTAAAACACTTTACAAAAAATCTTCTAAGTTGATTTAATCGATTGTTTCAGCGATTCAATCGATTGAAATACTGCAAAACTTTCTCGTAAAACTTTTCAAGTTATTTTAAGCTGATAAAAATAAGTTTTAATCAATTAAAACGTCATGCAGTAAATTGTTTTAATCGATTGAAACGAGATTTAATCGATTAAAATAGTTCTGATCGGTCATAACTACATTCTGATCGATCATAATTGAAACAATATAATAGCGGTTCCAGGTTAACCGCTATCTAAGTGAGCTTTTAAGAGCGGTTCTTGTGTAACCGCTATCTAAAATGTATTTCGCTTGAGCGACACTCTTCTCGCTCGAGCAAAACGCCCCTGCACAAAATTGGCATTCTCGGGTTGTATTTCGCTTGAGCGACTCTAGTCTCGCTCGAGCGATATTTGATTCTGATCGATTAGATTTTCGAAATGATCGATCATATTTGATAATTTTTTCAAATAATTAATTATAATCGATTAGTTTTCTAAATTATTGATTAGAATTGATTAGTTTTTCAAATAATAGATTAGAATTGATTAATTTCAAAATATATACTAAAAAATTATAATTAAAAATATAAATTAGTTAAGAATATTGACTATTGTAAAGATAAAGTAGAACATGGGAGGAGATGAGGATGATAATATAATGATAGAACTTACAAAAATGTAGAATTGAGAAGTTTGAAACAAATAAAATTAAGAAAATAGATATTTAATTACACTTTTAATAAATTTAAGATAATACTAGTTTTCATTTTTATTTTTAAATATTTATTTTAATTATTTAAAACAGAGAAACTATAATTTTAGTTTCTAGCTACTTGAATTTAAAGAATTAAATTTATTATTATTTAATCTTTTAATTTTAGTATTAAAATTTTAAATTATATTTTATTAAATTAAAATAATTACAATATATTTTTCTACTTTGAGAATGAACAATATAATTAAACTCAAAATTGACAATATTATAATATATTTTTGAACTCTTTTGGATTAATTTTTTTTTCATAATTTTTTATAAAGTTAATTTTAATATTTAAAAGTATTTAACATTTTGAATTCTGAAAGGTTTTCTCTAATAGAAAATTTAAAAACATAATATAAAAAAATAGTTAATGTAAGTTTTCATTATGATCGGTCATAATTGCATTCTGATCGATCATAATTGAAACCATATAATAGCGGTTCCAGGTTAACCGCTATCTAAGTGAGATTTTAAGAGCGGTTCTGTATAACCGCTTATCTAAATCTGTATCTCGCTTGAGCGACAACCTTCTCGCTCGAGCGAAACGCCCCTGCACAAAATTGGTATTCTCGGGTTGTATTTCGCTTGAGCGACTCTAGTCTCGCTCGAGCGATATTTGATTCTGATCGATTAGATTTTTGAAATGATCGATCATATTTGATAATTTTTTCAAATAATTAATTATAATCGATTAGTTTTCTAAATTATTGATTAGAATTGATTAGTTTTTCAAATAATAGATTAGAATTGATTAATTTCTAAAATATATACTAAAAAATTATAATTAAAACTATAAATTAGTTAAGAATATTGACTATTGTAAAGATAAAGTAGAACATGGGAGGAGATGAGGATGATAATATAATGATAGAACTTACAAAAATGTAGAATTGAGAAGTTTGAAACAAATAAAATTAAGAAAATAGATATTTAATTACACTTTTAATAAATTTAAGATAATACTAGTTTTGATTTTTATTTTTAAATATTTATTTTAATTATTTAAAACAGAGAAACTATAATTTTAGTTTCTAACTACTGAATTTAAAGAATTAAATTTATTATTATTTAATCTTTTAATTTTAGTATTAAAATTTTAAATTATATTTTATTAAATTAAAATAATTACAATATATTTTTCTACTTTGAGAATGAACAATATAATTAAACTCAAAATTGACAATATTATAATACATTTTTGAACTCTTTTGGATTAATTTTTGTTTTCCTAATTTTTGATAAAGTTAATTTTAATATTTAAAAGTATTTAACATTTTGATATAATGAGTATGATAATATAATGATAGAATTTACAAAAATGTAGAATTGAGAAGTTTAAAAAAATTTTAAGAAAATAGAGATTTAATTATACTTTTAATAAATTTAAGATAATACTAGTTTTTAAACATTTTTCTAATATTTGTTTTTAAAAATATAATATCATTTTTAATATTTTATAGATTTTATATTTATATATTTATAAAAGTAATTGGATTAAATTTATTATCCTCTCATATATTATTATACATTTAGCGTAATTTTAGTTTATTTAAAAATTAGAATACAAATATACTATACCAATATACCATTATATTATTTTCATTGTATATAAATTACAAAATTAATAATTTGTATACTATACTATACTAATATATTATTTGTATACTATACTAATAGTATAATATACTATATTATAATATTATTTGTATAGAAAACTAATATCTTTATATATAAATATAGAAAGATATAAATATATGTAAAAATATAAACATATAAATATATATAAATATGTAAAGATATAAACATATATCTTTAATATTTTGTAAATGTAAATATAATTTATATATATTTTTAAATCTTTTTCTAATATTTATTTTTAAAAATATAATATTATTTTTAAAATTTAATATTTTTTTTCAAATATATAAATATATAAAGATATAAATGTATAAGGATATAAATAAATATATAAATATATCAATATATAAATATATCAAAATATAAATATATCAAAATATAAATATATAAATATATTAATATATAAATATATCAATATATAAATATATAAATATATATAAATATATAAATATATATAAATATATATATATATATATATATATATATATATATACAAATATATCAATATATCAATATTATCCCCTCATATATTAATATACATTATTAGCATAATTTTAATTTAATTAAAAATTAGAATACAAATATACTATACTATACTAATATACCATTATATTATTTTCATTGTATATAAATTACAAAATTAATAATTTGTATACTATACTATACTAATATATTATTTGTATACTATACTAATAGTATAATATACTATATTATAATATTATTTGTATAGAAAACTAATATCTTTATATATAAATATGAAAAGATATAACTATATGTAAAAATATGAAGATATAAATATATAAAAATATAAATATATATAAAAATATAAAGATATAAATATATCAATATATAAATATATCAATATTTAAATATATCAATATTTAAATATATATTAAAATATATAAATATATTTTTATTTATAGATTTTATATTTATATATTTATACTGATATACATTTATTTGTATATAAATATAATTTATTTGTAAGTTATTATTAAAAGATCCTAATAGCTCAGTGGTTGGAGTTTTAGCCTCCAACTCTAAGGTATCGGGTTCGAATCCTGACAATGATTCGGTCACTGATTCGGTCACTAAAACCAGTGACCAAGGAAATAGTGACCGATTCCAGTTGGTCACTATTTCAGTCACTATTTTAATTAGTAACCGATTTTGCACATTTAGTGACCGAATTTTCAGTCACTATTTTGTGTTTTTCTTGTAGTGTAATCTGATTGTATACCTTGATGTTTGTCTACCATGTTTAGGGTTTGATAATTCTTGAACTTCAAACTCATCATTTTTCCTATTATATTTTTTAACATGATACATATCGACTTACATATCGACTTTGTGTTTGTTTTCTTTGAGCAATGTAGCAATCTCTTCCGGGTACTTATCTCCTACTCATAACATGACCTCAATTTTCATGTTATATTCAACAAACTATGACTTTATTCATTTAAATATAATTTTGATTAAGATACATATTTACAAGATTCATGCTCTTTTTAAAATAGAGTTCATGTACTCAACTAGATTGGTGGTTGATTACATTATGCAACTTGGAAAATTTGTTTTGATGAGGTCAAGCTATGCAAGTTGAAAGATCTCATTGTCTCTTGTGTGCATGTGTCTAGAGTTCTCTTTGTAAGCAAAATTCTTTCTTGATTGATCCATCAAGTCTTGTTTGAATGCCTCATGAGAAAAGTAAGTCAATCTTTATTAAGAAGTTTTAATCGATTAAAAATTCTTTTAATTTGTTAAGATGTTTTTAGTTCACATTTTTAATCAAAAAAACCTCATTTTAGTCTATTAAAACCATTAAAACTCAAAACCTATACATGATTCAAAATATTAATCAATTAAATCATCTTTTTTCATCAATTAAAAGGTTTTTATCAACTTTCATGAAGATGAGTTTCAAAAATTTAATATGTTAAAGTTCGTTTACATAACTTAGAATGTTATTGGATGTTTTAGTGAAAAATCTAAGTTACTTTAATCAATTACAATAAGTTTTCTATGTTAAAATGAACCACTGGAACTTATAAATTTTTTAGATGTTTTGTTTTAATCGATAAACTTTGGTTTTATCAATTAAAATCACTAAATCAACTTAGTAAGATTTGTTGAGTATTTGGCTTTAATTGAACAAAGTGTTTTGAATCATTTAAAACATCTTAAGTATGTTAGACTTTATTTTTGTCTCAAGGCATTTAAATTTATTAAAAGCACAAAATAATCAATTAATTAGACTTTTAATAAAATTAATCAATTAAAACTATATAATAAATTTCTTTCTTTCAATTCAAGACACCATTTTTTTCAATGTTTTTTAGTAAACTTTTTGTGAGTTTTTTTTTTTTAAGAAAGAACTTTGTAAGATCTCAATATTATTTTGATAAAGTTCTCAAGGCATTCTAATCAATCTTAGTGTGATTCATCTTAATTGAAATTCTGCACTTAATTTTTACTTGATAGTTCAAATATGATTTGTGTTTATATGTGATATTTAATTTTTTTGTATCTTTTAAGGTCATGTTGATACCTTTGATTAAATAATGGTGTTGGGTGACTCGAATGAGGTCACTCGGTTATATTAAAGAGTGGTTCTTGGTGGATCAAGAAGCACTTGCACTAGATAGGGTATTTCGCTTATTTGTATCTTGAATATTGGTATTAGTGGAACTCTTAATTAGATTTGACTAAGGATTGAATATAGCTTAAATGATTGAGTGAACTAGTATATAAGTCTTTGCATGTTGATTCTTTCTCTCTTCCTTATATTTTTCTTGTTATCCACTTTTTGCATGCAAACACTTGTAAAAATAATTCTTTAAAAGTTTTTCTTGGTTTAAAAGTTTTTCTTGGTTCTAGAAAAAAAAATTATTGAAAAAAGTTTTAAAGTTGAATTCACCCCTCTTGCCCATTATTTCTAAAAGTAGTTAGTATTTTTTTTTCTATCACATCCTTGTATCTATTCTTCTAATAAAATTTGATTCAACCAAAAAAATAGTACATCGAAACTCTAACCTCAGTAAATAATTAAGTTAAAAATCTAAAAATCTTGGTTGGCTTCATCTCATATCTTTAAAAAAAATAATAATAAAAATATAAATTAATAGCAAATGGGATATATTTTTCTTTATATCTTTATACTTAAAACACGTGTATATATGGATGAATTCTATCTAGCCTTATATTTTGTACAAATAAACTCTCTTTTTTCATAAATAATGAAAGAAAAATAAGAAAACTTTTAAAGACTAATAAATCATATTTGTGATTATTAAAGTATTTAATTTTTCTTAGACATAATTCCTCTAATTTAAACTCTAGTGGGTATATCGTCTATAATGTAATTAAGGTGTAGTATACTAAATTGATAAATGATATCTCGTCTATTTTAAAGTGTTGATGATGTATTCTTTATTCTTTAGTTTAGAGAATATTTCGTCTCATTTCTTAAAATTTATTCATTTATATATTATTTATCAAAATAACATTATTAATTATTCTTAATTTAACATTAAAATAAAAATTAAGCATATATTTAGAAATCTCACTTTTGTGGAAGTTTGAATGAATCTTTAACAACATAATCTTTTTAACATTAGTGTAAGCTAAAATTTCCCAGAGGACGTGAGATTTGGCACATTGATTCATGACCTATTAATAAAAGTCTCCTCAATATCTCTTACCTTCTGATTTCCCAACATGAAGGGGTTAACTTGCACTCATAACTATTACATTTTTATCTCTCAAATGTTTTTGTTCCAAATATATAGATTGAAACTTTAGTCACTAGTTCTTATTATAATTATACTCATATCTCAACCAACTAACTATATTGCAGTATAGTGGCAGCCCCATACATTCCAACAACCTTGACCTTTTCAATTAATTAGAGGTCACTATTTTTTTTACATGTCAAAAAATATTTGCAACTTAATCAATTATTTCCATTTTATATCTCTAATCGATTATCGAAGAAATTTAACAAACTAACCAAAAAATTGTGTCAAACATGTAAAGTTTTTTATAAATAATTGTTAGCTTTGATATTTTAAGTTTTTTTTTTTTAAATTACTTTTATAAAAATATATTCCAATATAGTCCCATGAATGTTGATATAGTAAGCTATATCCACACATCTTAACCCAATATCCCATATTACATATATCTACTAAATTTGGGGTCCGTGTTCTACACTATTAGGTAGTTTTTAGTAATGATTTCACAAGTCAAACCATCAAGGTTTTCGTCTTAACCTAATTTTAATCCTTGCTATTGGTTTTACTTGCTGCATGTCATTTAACACATTTTTTTACAAATGGGGTGTGGAGGACCATATATCTTCTTCGGAGTTGAGGGTCAGTAACTCCACATTTAATATATTTACATGTATATTTACAATTTTATCTTCTCAATCCTTCCTCAGCTTTGTAATTCTCATGTAATTTATAATTTTGTTTCCTTTAAACTTAATAATCATTTAATATATTTAAGTATATATCTATGATTTTATCTTTCTACTATTTTATCTTTTTTCTTCTTTTTATATTTATTTATTATTTATTATTTATTAATAATATATTATTTAACTTGGAGAATTAACGGTTAAGATCGTAACTGGTACCATGCATTCTGAAGTTATTAGTTGATGAATGAACATTAGTTGTATATAAACCTTTCACTCGCTTCAGTTTTTGTATCCGCATACTTAAATTGAATATTCTACCAATTCCACAGTGATGTTGGCTCTAAAGCTTAGTTTGACAAAAGTCTTGGTCGTTTCCATTATATCCATAGTTTCCTATGCAAGCTTGAATGTTGAAATTGAAGCTCTGAAAGCTTTCAAGAACTCCATCACTGGTGACCCAAATGGAGCTCTAGCAGATTGGGTTGAAGTCACCACCACTGCAACTGGTCTGGCATTACATGCGATCCTTCTTCAAAACACGTCCTTTCAATATCTCTAGTTAGTCTTCAGCTCAAAGGGGAGATTTCAACTTTCCTTGGAAACATTTCAGGCCTTCAGGTTTTTGACATAACTTCATACTCATTCACTGGCTACATTCCTGCTCAGCTTACACATTTAGAATACCTTCTACTGTTCCAAAATTCCTTGAGTGGAAAAATCCCTTCCGAGCTTGCTAAGTGTAGCAAGCTTTTAAATCTTGAGTTATATGAGAATCAGTTTACTGGAAGTATTCCTCCCGAGCTAGGAAATTTATTTCGGTTGGAGACTTTGAGATTATATCACAATAACTTGAATTCCACCATTCCCTCTTCCATATTCCGGTTGATATCATTAACACATTAGGACTCTCGGAGAATAGATTGGAGGGAACAATATCTTCTGAGATTGGATGGCTGAGTTCCTTACAAGTTTTAACCCTGCATTCAAACGTGTTTACTGGGAAGATCCCTTCATCAATAACAAACTTGACATATCAATGAGCCAGAATCTTCTGTGTGTTTCAGTTTCTAGTTTAATAGTTTAAATAATTTGTTATTCGATATAATTAATATAATTTCTATATTAAATTACTTAAACCCTAAATGAATTTTATGATTTCACTCAACAAAGTTCAGTACATAAAAGATTTCAATTAAAAATTGTTCCTATTCAATTTTTATATATAATATAATGAATAATTTAAAATAATTTGTAAAAATAATAAAGAGCCGTAAAAGTAAATTATTAAAAATTAAATATGTAAAAAATTAAATAACATAAAAATAAATATAATTTATTACTAAAGATAAAACAAAAATTATAGATAAACTCAATTAAAATGATTATCTAAATTACAAAGAATTAAAAATATTTGTTTTTATTTCATAACATTTTTAAAATATAAGTTGTACAATTTAACAATTATCTTAATTACTTTTATTTTATTCTATATATATTATTTTTTGTAACTACTAAAGTAACCATAAAAATAATACAATAAAAATTATAAATTAAAATCTTTTAAATAACTATTTTCTTATAACTATTTCACTTTGTTGATACATCCGTAATTTGTACATTCTATAGAACTTGTTTTTAACCGTCTTTATCAATTTTCGATGTATTACTAGAAATTTTTTTTTTATAATTTTCTCTCGATATATTCATGTTCATTTTTTTCACTCTTTAGATCTTGATTCTTAATCTGTTATGTTATTCTCTTTTAATCATTTAATTCTCAATTTGTCGATATTCTATCTTTTCTCCAAAAATTCAATGTTAACTACTCTTCTATTTTAATATGTCTTCACGCTTTCTAACCATTTGATGTCTAATCAAACTAAATCTTTTTTTTTATCTTTTTTAATTTTTAAACTTAACAATTAAGAGAATACTTTTATAATATTCTTATTTTTAAGAAAAAATTATTTTTTTATCCCATATTTTCATTCTTACTCTCCTCCTCTCATAAATACAAAATTCTCGTCCGCTCATAAATACAAAATTCTCGTAATAAATAGGACTCTCTACACTGTCAATCCTTCATCTGTCATTTTCCAATTTTTATCCCAAAATATTTGATTTATTTGAATATGAGCCTAGACCAATCTCATTATCACTAGAATTTCCAGGAAACACCTCTTCTTCTCAATTTCGAAAACCATCCCTCAAACGATCTTCTCCACTACTATATTCTCATATCACCTCTATCATTTTCAGCTTTCTAGTTATATATTTTCTTTATAAATGGCTTCATCGTCGGTTACTTCCCACATCTCCTACATTCAACCTATCAACACATAATTTGTTGAGATAAATAGAAAAACTTTTGCACCAATCATCGGATTACTCAAAGAAATTCAAAAAATCTGTTCTACCCAGGTACGATTACATATTCAGTAAGATATGTTCCACTAGCATTTGGAGGATCATTAATACCCGATCCTGAAGAACCACTGACTTTCTTTCTACCAAAGAAGGCAACTGCATACTTCAAGAACTTGAGAAAAAAATTTCAGGATAGACTTTCTCTTTCAAACATCCAAATTATATCGCTCTATTCTTCTAAAAAAAACTATCCTACATCAAATGGTTCGACAAAATTGAGCCTCAGTTCAAACATAATTGGAGAAACATAGGTATATATGTCCTTCTCAGTCTCTCCAAACTCGATATAGGCTACTCGAAATGTGAATGTTTTTGTCAGCCACCCTTTCTGAAAATAAGTTTTCAGGTCAAATTCCTCCAGAACTGTCCAAACTTTCTCACCTTCAGGGGCTCAGTCTACATGGAAATCTACTAGAAGGTAGAATACCTGATAAGCTCTCTGAATTAAAAGACCTCACCAAACTTTTGCTCCATCAAAACAAGTTGATTGGTAAAATACCTGATTCTATCTCAAAGCTTCATATGCTTTCACACTTAGACCTTCATGGAAACAAACTTAATGGGTACATTCCAAGAAGCATGGGGCAGCTTAATCATCTTTTAGTTTTGGACCTCTCTCACAACCAGATCAGAGGACCAATTCCCAGAGATGTCATTGCACGCTTCAAAAACATGCAGATCTATCTTAACCTTTCTTACAACCACTTGGATGGAAATGTTCCAGCTGAGTTGGGCATGTTGGAAATGATACAAGCTATTGACATTTCAAACAATAATCTTTCGGGTTTCATTCCCAGAACACTTGCTGGGTGCAGAAATCTGTTCAATCTCGATTTTTCACGAAACAATGTTTCAGGTCCTATTCCTGCAGAAGCTTTTAGTCACATGGACTTGGTTGAAAGCTTAAACCTCTCAAGAAACAATTTAGAAGGTGAAATCCCAGAAATATTGGTAGAACTTGATCACCTCAGTTCCCTAGATCTTTCTCATAATAACTTGAATGGCAATATTCCTGAGGGCTTTGCCAAACATTCCAACTTGGTGCATCTCAACCTTTCCTTCAATCAACTTGAAGGTCCTGTACCTACGACCGGAATATTTGCACACATCAATGCATCCAGTATAATGGGAAACCAGAATCTTTGTGGAGCAAAGTTCTTATCGCCATGCGAAGTGGGAAGACATTCACCATCTAAGAAAGGCATATCTATTATCGCTGCACTAGGATCTCTTGCTATACTTTTATTTCTAGTGTTGGTGTTTCTAATTCTCAATAGAGTAACGAAACTCAGAAATTCTAAAGAAAGGGATATTAGTGTGAATCATGGACCAGAATACAGTTCTGCATTGACTCTTAAAAGGTTAAATTCAAAGGACTTGGAAAATGCCACTAGTTTCTTCAACACTGATACCATCATTGGTGGTAGTAGTCTGAGCACAGTTTACAAGGGCCACATGGAAGATGGCCGGGTTGTAGCCTTTAAAAGATTGAACTTGCAACAATTTTCTGCTAATACTGACAAGATCTTCAAGAGAGAAGTCAACACCTTGAGCCAGATGAGACATAGGAATTTGGTCAAGGTAATTGGATATGCCTGGGAGACTGGGAAAATGAAAGCTTTGATTTTAGAGTACATGGAGAATGGGAATTTGGATAGCATCATACATGGAAAAGGGGTGGATCAGCTTGTGATCTCTAGGTGGACATTATCTGAAAGAGTCCGAGTTTTCATTTCTATTGCTAGTGCACTGGACTATTTGCACTCTGGTTATGATTTTCCCATTGTACACTGTGATTTAAAGCCATATAACATCCTCTTAGATGGACAATGGGAAGCTCATGTCAGTGACTTTGGAGCAGCCCGAATACTTGGCCTTCATCTGCAGGATGGAAGTAACCTTTTGTCATCAGCAGCTTTGCAAGGCACAATTGGCTGTATGGCACCAGGTACCGCCTGTTCTATTTTGCTAATATCTCATCTTCAATGTAAAAAAAAAAAAAAAAAAAAAAAAAAAAAGAAATCAATACAATTATGTTCATAGCGACTTGCAAACTAAATGATATTTAGAGATCTTTTTGAATTTGTATAGTTAGAAATTCATGCACCTTAAATTGTTCTAATCAGAGAAAGCAACATTAGCAAGAGATCTACACTTGAATGTGTGTTAATATATGTCCATATTTGACTGTTCTATTCAGAGAAGGCAACATGACCAAGACTTTCATGAGTGGAACTATAATGATTGCACTGTCATATTCAGCATATCCTGTACACTGACAATCATTTCCTTTAGTGTCACCCAACATGAGATCACTGAGCAGAGCTTCTATCAGATTTTGCTACTGGTGACTTTAACTAATTGATTAGTAATTAAGGTATAGGACAAAGCATTTGACATTATATTCACAGAAACATGGAGAAGGCCTCTTTAGATAGTAAAGATAATATCTTTTTTCCTTCGAAGTAGTACCCATAAACAGAGAGCTGATTTTTATGCTTATAATATGATGCATACACAAGTTTTTTTAAATATAAAATATAACATTGTTTCCAATCCTCTTAGCTTATTAACTTTGTGTGCCCAATGATTTATAAATTTCACTTTCTAAGCAAGATATTCTGCGGTGTAATTCACAGAATTTGCCTACATGAGGAAAGTAACCACTAAAGCGGATGTATTCAGCTTTGGTATCATAGTAATGGAGGTTCTAACAAAAAGAAGGCCAACAGGACTCTCAGAAGAGGATGGTTTGTCAATCACTTTGCGTGAAGTAGTGGCAAAAGCCCTTGCAAATGGAATAGAAAAACTTGCCAATATTGTGGACCCTTTGTTGTACTGGAATGTTACCCAAGACCGTGATGAAGGGTTGCCACAGCTCATTAAGTTATCCCTGTGCTGCACCCTCCCTGATCCTGAACATCGACCCAATATGAATGTGTTTTATCTTCCCTTAAGAAGCTTCAAACAGCACTGTCCTGTTAAATGATAAACACCACCAATCAATTCTTGGAGCTTCTTTTCCTAAAGAAGAAATATTAAATCTTTTTCTACTTCATTACTATTGTCTTTAACTTTTGCAAAAGCCTAATTGTTTGCATGTTAGTTTTCTAATAAATGTATGGAAATTATCAACCTTCCTCCACAACCAACCATGTAATGACTTTGATTGTCCACTGTTGCACGCTTTTTTCTTCTTCATTACCCCTCCCCACCCTTGGTTTAAATGCAGATATACTTTATCTATTCCTTTGTAAAATTAAACAGTGGAAACAATGGAAATTACAAACTACAGTATGCAAAAGGTTACACAATCCACGGAAGCCAGCCTCCTCAAACTAAAGTAGGCATTTTTAATCATTTATGGATCTAACCCCTTGCTATATCTCCTAATCTTTTTCACTTTCAGTAAGCAATGGAATTTGCTCTCTCCCAGAAGCATTAAAGAAACTTCCAAGTTTTCTGTTTGTCATAAAGCCTCTAAAGTTTCTATTACGTTCAAAAATGAATTCCAATCAGATATAATTTGAAATTTAAATTAAAAAAATTAAAATTTTTGAAATACATTTCCCAACAAGTTCCAGTTTCAGATTGAAGATATACCAATAGAACCTTGGGCGGCTATTTGTTGACCACATGATTCAATGTCAATAAACTGACTGCATTTGCATATAACAATTAGAAAGAAGAATATCATGAAATGAAAACAACAATGCTTAATAAGAAGAAATTGGGGTTAGTTGATTCAATTACAGGAAGGATCAGTATGAAGAAATTCTTGAATGGTTGAAGGGAAGTCCAATTCTCCATAAGAACCACCACCGGAAATAAAAGCAGCGTTCCCTAATAGCAGGTGTGCCAATCTTAAGGGTTTCTGCTTCTCCTCCCTCACCACCATTCAGAAAGTGTTTGATCTACCCATCTTTCCTCTGCCCCTTCCTACAGGTAGAAGGACTTGAAAATTATTATGTCATTAAGATTGCCAAGCTTTATCCGAATATTTTTGGCTTCTCATTTTAGGCAATTAGCAATAATTTTTCTCTGGACTTCGGAGAATCTGCTTCATATTTTGAGACATGGTATTGACCCTTCCACACCACACGAACAACTTTTTGCATAAAACCCATCTTCACAGCGACAAAATCCACAATCGTCAAAACCATCCCTTGCTTCTTTTTCCTTTGATAACCCCAAAAACTGCATTAACCCCAAAGGCTTCATATTTTAACCACTTCTCAACCTGAACGACCATCAAACTTCAGAATTCAGATTCATTAAGAACATATTACAATGTTGGAGCTCCAATTACGTATTCATACGATAACACGGATAACGGTCGAATTTCGTTGCCCATTAACTTTAACTTTGAATGGTTATTATATCGTCAAAACGCACAAGTGCAGTTCGATTCAGTACATACTAGATAGCAGCAGTATGATATTTTTTAGCACTCTTTCATTTCGTTATTATTCTTATTAGCAGTCACATGCCCAGAGAGAAAGGTAAAATAAGATGACAAAATGGTAGTTTTGTAAAATGCAAGAAGTAACATTAAGTTGGATTGGATACACAAGATGATTAACACTATCTGAAGTACATTGCAATAACATGTACATCAGCAAACACAAATCTAAAACTCTCAAGACCACAAATCATTCTCTCGACGCTCACTTTCCGGGGACGAAGTTGGTGGCGTAGGCCCAGGCGTTGTTGTTGACTGGGTCAGCAAGGTGGTCAGCGAGGTTCTCCAAGGGGCCCTTTCCGGTGACAATGGCCTGGACGAAGAACCCGAACATGGAGAACATGGCCAACCTACCGTTCTTGAGTTCCTTTACCTTAAGCTCAGCGAATGCCTCTGGGTCGTCAGCGAGGCCCAATGGGTCGAAGCTGCCACCAGGGTAAATGGGGTCAGTGACCTCACCGAGAGGCCCGCCGGCAATACGGTAACCCTCGACGGCGCCCATGAGGATAACTTGGGTGGCCCAGATGGCGAGGATGCTCTGAGCGTGGATCAGGCTTGGGTTGCCCAAGTAGTCGAGCCCACCCTCGCTGAAGATCTGTGACCCAGCTTTGAACCACACGGCCTCGCCGAATTTGACGCCGTTGCGGGACAAGAGTTCGGGGAAGACGCAGCCCAAGGCTCCGAGCATGGCCCACCTGGAGTGGATGACTTCCAGCTCACGGTTCCTGGCGAAGGTTTCTGGGTCAGCGGAAAGTCCAGCAGTGTCCCAGCCGTAGTCACCTGGGAACTCGCCAGTGAGGTAGGACGGGGGCTCGCCGGAGAATGGGCCCAAGTACTTGACACGGTCTGGGCCGTACCATGGGCTTCCAGAGGAGGTCTGCTTGGTGACTGTCTTCCTCATGCTGACCCTCCCGACTTCGGGGGCTGATGGGGCAAGCTTGACGGCCTTGCCAGCCAGGGAGGGGGAAGAGAGAGCCATGGAGGATGCAGCAGCCATTGTTGCAAAGAACTTGCCTTTTGCTTTGTGCTTTGTGGTGTGCGAGTTGTGTAAGTTTGAGAGCGGTAGGTGGGATTTATATGAGGTGAAGTGGTTGGGGCTCTTATCTTGGGCTATCTAAAGCTACAATCTCATTGGGGGTTTGAGATTGTGTTTGTACACTTGGCATCCTTTCAATCCACTAACGGGTTAGATTCTTCCCATGGCTTGTAACCAGTGTGGGACTTCCACGTATGAACGTGGGATTCCAGTAGATATTACTGATAATTTGTTATTCCATTGGGAAGTGACGTGGAAAATGGCTTCAACTATGTGGCTATCGTTTGAGTGTGTGAGATATTTTTGGGTCCACATCATAGGAAGGTGCATAAGAACCACAAATTTTGAATGAGTGATTGCAACGGATAGATGTTGCATTTCACTGGCAGAGGGAGTAAAGGACAAAGACAGACACAGAAATTGTGAAAAGAACCAAGTGAAGTTTGATGGTTACACGGGTCCATTTTGATGAAGGAGCAATTACATTACACGTTACATGAATGAATTCAATCAAACTAATACGTGTCTTGTGAACGTTGGTTGGAGTCTCAATACGGTATTTTTCATAAATCAAATGTCTCACACCCTCGCCATTTTTTAACCCAGAATTAGAAAGAAAGAGGTTCGAAGGAAGAAATACTTTTGAAACACCTTTATGTAAAAAAAGATAAGAAATTACGAAAACTACTTGAGATATTAATCATTTGATATCTAATACTATAACAGATAATTCTTCTATAGCTCCAAACCAGCTTCTGATGAAGGATAAATGTAGTAACCAATAAATATTAAATACTTGTTTAATGCAATAAGTTAATTAAATTGATGCACATCTGTGTATAATTGTGTATATGTTATAGCCACGGATTAGCAGAATGCATTGGTCCCTACCCTGCATGCATGGTTAATATTTTTGACCCGTTTCATTTTACAGTTGATTTAGGTGATACGAGAAGCTTATCCAAAATCTAAAGTGGCAAGTTCTTATTGGATAGAAAAGGCATTTTGTGATATTCGTTTAGATAGATAAACTCTTAAAGAGAAAAAAATATGGAAAAGGGTAAGCGATATGGGATAGTCTCTCAAAGAGATAGAAATGTAAGATATCTCCCTATCACACTTGGACAAATGGGATAGTTTTTCTTCCCGGATATGTATTGTGAAGTGAATATGTAGCAAAGATTATGATTTAGAATTTATTTAGATTTATCAAAAAGATTTTTACAAGAGTAATATGTAAAAAAATATTATAAATTAACATTAATTTATAGATGTTCACTCATATAGTTCTTTATTTTTCTTTTAGTTTGTATATAAATTAATAATAATTTATAAAAAAAACAAGTTAACTTTTCTATATATCTTTTATCTTTTTTGTTAAACATTAAATTCAACCCAATAAACAATCTTATAATATATTATTTGATATTCATAATCTTAATAATATTTTATATAATTAAGTTTTTTATATAATACTTTTTAGATTTTTTAAGATTTTAATCGATGGTCAATAGATTTGAGTAATGTTTATTTATATTTCACATTAAGTAATAATTTGTTGTTTGATCAATTAATTAAACTAATCATAGGTATCATACTTGGCTAGGACATATGAAATTGTATGTGGACTTAACAATGTGTTACTTGATGAATTCTTAAGATTAGTTATAATCATTACAATTAATTAGGAAACTTAACAATGTATCTATTGATGAATCCAAAAGATTATCCATTGTTATCAACTTTACTTATAAAGTTCAAGTTGACTTTTACAATATGTCCTTATATGAACCCAACAAATCATTTAATGAAGACTTGACTAATAAAATTTAAGTGAACTCATACAATATATCATGTATTACATTAAATAGATTATTTCGTGGTTATTAGACTTATCTAATGTTAATAAAAACTCAAATTTACTCATGTAGTATATCATATCTCATCAATCTATCCTATGATCACCATAATCAACTACTAAATAGACTTTATTATATTGATGATTAGGTCAATTCATCCAATGACTAGTCAAAATTTAAATTCAATAATAACACAACTTTAAAGAAATATATTAAAAACAAAATATATTAAAGTAGAATAGCTGAAATACATCCTTCGCGAGAGCTCTGACTCTAGTTATTCAATATATAAAAGTTGTGACATATTCCAAAACGTCTAAGAGACAGCAAATAACTAGAATCAGTTTCAACTTCATGTCTTATAACAGCTAAGTATGCTTGAAGATTATCAACAGATATATAATTATAAAAAAGATTAAGTGAGTGAAAACGAAATTATTTATGTGAATAAGTACGTTATAAAAATATCTTTTAAAAATATAATTTTTTATTTTTTAGAATTAAGAAAGAACTTTCATTTGTAAATTTTTCATCTTATGAGTTTATTGTCTTATTTACAAGAAACTATTTTATATAATCTGTGTAAAAATATATGACTTATAATCTATACCAAATTTCGATTTGTAACACTTGAAGATACTTTATGAGCTTGAAAAGTTAAAAATAGCTAATATTCATTATTATCAAATGTGGTATTGTATACTCAGTTATTATTAGGATATGTATTTTTTTTAAGTTAAAAATAATAATGAATAATAGGTTATTATAATAATTTGAATATAGTATAATAATCATATCATATATTTGTGAAAAAATAGATAAAGTTTTTCAGTAAAATAATTATATATATATATATATATAATATTTAATAATTTTAAAACTAGTTTTTATTATTAATTAAAGTTAAGTTAATTTTAAAATTTTAAAATATTAATTAATATAATTAAATTAATAAAAAATATTTTAAATTAAGATAGTTATATTTTTTGGTATGTAATTCAATTAAGTGATATTGATTGTTTAATATAAATAATATAATTATGTACCATATGTTTATTTTTCATTAATAATATCATTTTCAAAACATATTTTATTAAATAATTATAATTTACTTAAAACTTATAATTTATTTTTTGTATATTAGTTTTGATATTATAATATTAAATTATCACAATATTTTTTTTTAATATATCATGAATGGAAACTTTATATCTAAAGACAAAAATAATAAAATATATTTTAAACTTTTAGAATTACTAACCATAATATATTAAAATTATATATAATATAAAGAAAATAATCATTTTAAATTTTGTATTGATTTTAAGTTCCTTAAGTAAAAAATGTCCATATGCTTTGTAAATGAGCTCAACGCATATAATTTATTTTTACTTTGAATATGTTATGAGAAATAAATTTATATTATTTTAAATAACAATTACTTTTTTACTTATAAAACATTATCTAAATAAAATTATTTTATATAATTTTTATTTTATAATTATATATTTTTCATTTTATGCATAAAGAATGGTTAGTAACAAAATATATTAATATATTATGAAATTTATTTTAAATTAGATTTAAATTGTGTAAATATAGAGAAAATTAATGGTTACCTTTTGTATATTACATATAATTTTATTATATTATAATTAATAAATATAAATTATAAAATAAATTTTATGATTTTTGTCTTTTCTTAGAGATAAAATTTGTATTTATTATTTTACAATTATTTGTATTTATATATAATTTGTAATTATGATATTATAAAATAAATAATTTTACAATTATTCAAAATTAATATTAAAATTAATATAAATAGCAAATAAGCTATAATATCTAAGTAAATTATAATTATTTTAAAAAAATACAATGATAAAAGTAAAATATTTTATTTAATTATATTGCACACTAGAGAAATTCATCTTAAATTATTATATGTTATATTAATTAATTTTTTTACTTGTACAGTTGAACTAACTATAATTAATTATAAAAATTAAAAAATTATTAAAAAATGTCAAGATCTAAAAATATTTACAGAAACTACAAAATTCATGAAATTATATTTTCATTAATTAGAAATACATAAACTTTTATAGAATTGGTAACAAAAATTATAAGAATTAATTTCACCATTTTTTTCTCTCTAACTCTCATCATGATTTCATTTTCTCTTCATAGTTGTTTCATTCACATATTCTTACATCCTATTAAGCCCAAAAGCAAGTGGAGGAAGCCCAAAACATTGGAGATTCAAAAACTTTCTTAATTTAAATGTAGATGTGTTGGAAAACAATTATAAAGAAAATTAAAAATAATAATTTTTTTCCCAATTTAATATTAATCCATACATAAATATATATATATATATATATATATATATATATATATATAACTAAAACCTCCTTCACAATAAACTTTTCTTCTTAAATATACACTCATTTATTACAAGGAGTACATCTACCTCAAGTCAAATGTTGCGAATATAGACAAGTTTTTTTTAGCAAAGCAATGCAATTCCTAACCTACACTACTAAGTATTATTATCAAAACTAATGATATTGATTGAAGGTGTAGGAAATGCAGCATAAAAAAATTATTAGGATACAGAGAGAAACTAGACATGTCTAGACAAATCAACTCTTAATCCATTTGTTTAATAAAATAAATATTATAATTTGAGATACAAAGGTAATATACACCCGTAATTTTTTTTTTTTTTTGAGAAAACTTATTTTAATTTAAGAAAATAAAAATAAGAAAAAATTAAATTAATATTTTTATAATTAGCTAATTATATATTATAAAATAAGTCAAAATTTTGAAATAATACATAATATTTCATATAATGAAATTCTTGTAATTATATAATATAAATTAATAATAATATTTTTAACGTTATGTTTGTTATTGTTCATGTGAATGATAGAATACGATATCTGTGTTTTAAGGAAGAATGGAAAAGAAGGACCATCGCGTACATAAAAAAATGATGAAAGAAAGAGAAAGAAAAGTGAAGTTACACTTTTATCCTCCTCTTAAAATTTATAAACAATGAAATAATACAATATTTACTTGGTTTTGTGCATGCAT